AAGGGATCATATGGATCCAATCGACAGATTAAGTTGCAATAAGGGGAAGGACTACCGATGAAGATAATGAGAGGAAACTCAGGACTCTGCACCAAGGGATAGCTCATTCCATTGACAACCATAAGGGATAAGAATAAGAATGAGTAACATCTCATAACCTCGCATGCTACCATGCGACAATACCATTGTGGATTGATTAATCTAACGATCTAAGAGATGTAAAGTTTGTATTTCCAAATAAGTGAGCAGTTATTGATTATTTCCTAGAATAGGCCCGCAATTTATAAAGCTGTAAAGCTGAATTGTAAGCTGTATCCCGTCGCAAGCGTCGCATAATTTGCCGATAGAGAGGAGGGAGGTGTTTCCCAGTTTTGGGAAGAGGTGTGCCTTGGTTGCTTCCTTTGGCAAATTGGGTATGTCGAGGTGACACGTGTGAGAAGAGCTGATGACTGTGCTCTCTGGAAGAGTTACCCGTATGGGGCTGTCTGTTGGTTTGATGTTTGTGATATTTTCATTGCTGATGGCTATAAAGTCCGTGGACAAAAAGTGTCCGGTGCTGCCTGTGTCTGCAATTAAGGGGGCTGTGGCGCTGTTTGCTGCCTCCTTCTTGTCTATTTGTGTTGTCGGGGGACCAATCGTCGGTATCTTGTTTTCTTTTAACTTATCCGAATCTATATTATTGTTTTTTACTGTGCTACTAGATTGGTGTTTTCGTTGTACTGTTGGATCTGGCTCCCGACGTTCTCAGGTGCGATGGGCAGGTGGCTGTTGGTTTCCTTGGTTTTCGCGTTCCTGTCGCTGTGGGCGACGGAATACGGCGCGTTCTCCTGCCTTGCGTCTAATGATGCAGCAGCCTCCAAGCATATCGTCGCCGTTGGCCTCGATCTTGCGGCCTGGTGCCTTCTTGGTGCAATCTTTGCTGGTGTGGTTGCTGTTGGTTCCAAGGCCATGCGTCCAGCAGTAGTACATGACTGTGCCGCTGCCGTGCATAATGACTTTGTTGGCCGTTTCGTTGACGGGCTTCATGCTTGCCTTGTTGGCATAGCCAACTTCTTTGGTAGTGAGGATGCGACGTCTTTCCTTGTCTGCTTCCGTAAAGTGTGTTTGGAGGGCGTCCATGGTGTGTGCATCGTCGCTCATTTTCCTCCAATCTTTGATGGCATCAGTAAATACCCCACTGTTGGTTAAGTTTTTGATGGCGGCTCTGACTGCCATTTTATCGGAGATGGTGTCATGGTCAGCTGCGAATTTTTGTGCATCTTTGAGCTGGTTGTAGAGGTCTTCAATGGGTTGAGAAGGGCTCCACTGAGCATGCATCCTTTTCATGTTGTCCTCAAGATCATCGGCATTGACTTTTCCATACGTCGTATCTAGATGCGTGAGGATGGCTAATGCTGTGACCTGGGCATATCCATACATCGCGTGCTTCAATGACTTGATGAATGTGTCCGGGATGGCGTCCAAAAGTTGTTTCTGGAGGGCTGTTTCGGTGGCTCTGTAGATGAGGAATTTGTTTTCGTTGGCTGTGTATGTCCTGTTGGTTTCCGTGATTTGTGCACTGGTGGGGGCATCTCCATGGATGGGATTTGGTCCTGGGTGGACTGGTGCGACCCATGCGATGGCATTGGGAGTGCATTGAATGCTGCTGGTGGAATGACGAGTGCTAGGTGGCCATAGTGTCCTCCTCCGAGGGTAGATGGTACCGCCATGGCATTGGCATTCAGTTCTTGATGAATGATTTTGAGGGTGTTGTAGGTGGGTTTTTCATCGGCTGGGATGGATGTTAGTGTTGCCTTGGCAAAGTTGTCAATTGCCGTAAAGGATGTCATGTTGGTTGGTGGTGTTGACGGCAGCTATGGAGCGAGGGCTTTTGCTGTTGCTCTGCACCGGTGGTGTAGAGGTGTCGATTCAGTTAGATTGTTAATAACTGTTGATCCAGGCAGGTAGCCTAGTGAAGAATTGTTAGTAATAAAGTTTGTTATTAACAATTATGAGCATGGTAACTGTCCCAAACTGGAGCACACAGGCCCAGCTGGGGAGTGCCAACTCTAACAGCTGCTAACGGTTTTGGCTACCCTGCTTCTGGGATTCCAAGCAGGGTGGGCAACTAGTGGGCTTGCTTGCATTTAATAGTGACTGGGATCTGGGACAGGACCTAAAGACTTAAGGGTCCTAGTTCCAGATCAACACTCTGAAGCCTACCTAGTTGGCATGCTCGTCCCTCCACTGTTGTGCACTTCTGCTTCCAATGACAACTATACCATTTTGGCATTCCGACCTGCTATGGAATGGATCTAGAGGACCTGTTACACGAAAACCTGATGATATGGCAGTCCCTGCTGCGAATAACAGGAACAGAAGGGATATCAGGCAACATTCAGTTCCTCCTGACATTGGCCACCACATGGGCTTTGTTGAGGAAGACTGTACAGCGAGGACTTGGCCCCCCCGAGGCACTGCCTGCAAACATTACAAGGAGCTGGGTGACATACTCAAATAGACCCCCTGCAAAGACGAGCTGACTGTTCTGTCCCAGTGGTCCTGCATGAATAGGACAACCGATAGTTTAAAGACACAAAGGCGACCCAACAATCAGCAAACGACTCATCACAAGCCTGTCATAATCCAGATACTCTGAAGTCGATAGGAAAGTGAGGGACGCTAGCCAACAGGGCCATAGGTAGTTCCCCTCTTGTTGAACAGCCCTTGGAACCGGAGACTAACATTGACAAGAGTCCCTGCTGATCTGTCCAGAGTGAAAAAACAACCTTCCGAACCAACACCTTCATGGTAGTATCCTTGAACCGAGCAGCCTTGAAGTCTGTATGGTTCCTTTGTCTTGGAAACATCTAGGAAATCTACACAGGCATCAACCGCTTCCCCTGACGCAGCAAATCGGACCAAGGAATCGCTACTCGACTTGCGGTTGTAAAAAACAAGAATGAACCTCCAGTACCTGCCACCACTCTGGATCACTTCCGATAAGATCAAGGAGCCTGAGAGAGTTGGATCGTTCTGCAGATCCCAATGCCTCCTGACACCATTACCCTCTTCAAGCTCAGTTTCACAAAGGGCACAGACCCTCACGCTGACATACCTACCGGGCGCCAAACCTGTAAATGTCATGGGCAAAGGTGAATAGGGGCGGGATTGGGATATTCATATCTAAAATTCTTCCTGCATAAACATCATCATGATTTTGCCAATCATCGTACCCAACTCAAGCCATAAACGAGGCCATGGCAAAGCTCTCCTTCAGTGTCTAGGGCGCCATCGA